GGGAAAGAGCTGACCATACCCAAAAAGTGCATTCAGTCTAAAGGAGCAGTAAAATGCAAAACATTATTGTAAACCAGAAGAGAATTGAATATCAACAGATTCTAAAAGGAAGTAAAAGATGTTATTAATCCAATAGGAACTCACTACAAAATTACTAGCTATAAGCAGCTTAGGGTGAATTAGCTTAGAAACCTCCCCCCGAAACTTTAGTTTCAATCTTTATAGAACTATTTACCGATACTCCACCTTTTAAAAAAAAAATCATCTTTGATCTGTGTCTGAACTTTCTAACCCTCTTAGCCTTAGCCGGTATCGCAAATCAGTTCATCAGCAAAAATGGTAAGTATTATCATTTTCTGAATCCAGTTGTTTTGTACCTCTTCCTGAGAACCCAATAAAGTCTTCAGAGCAAACTGACTGCAACATGTAAGAATAACACTGAGAAAAATGTCCATTAACACTTTTGACAAGAAACATCAGTCTGCAAACAGGAATCTAAACGGAATCAGTGCAATCCCAGGTGGTCTTGTCTTTTGCAGAACAAGTGAAGTACCACAGTGTTAATTTTGATTTAAAAGTTAAATGTGTTACACAGAAAAAGATCGGAATTCTTCTGAGGGCAGACAGAAATGTTCCAACAACTTTGGGCGGGTGTTTATTTTGCTGAAATTAGCAGGATCAGGGAAAAAACAAAGCAAAGCGATGCCCTGGATTTGTGCCACAGTTTGACATCCCCTTAACAGCAGCCTGAGTCCAGCTGGCATGTGAGCAGACTCCAGACGGGGAAAAAAACAGTCTGGCCACACTTGAGTTAGAAAAAAGAGCTTAAGCGATGAATTTGCCCATGGTACACAGAAGATGGTTACAAGCTGGCTCTAATAACACTGCTGTAAAGAGGCTTATGATGATGCTGCAGCATTGCAGCTACCAATGAACTTCCCACTGCATCAGTAGCAAAAAATGCTACTAAAAAGGAAAGACAAAACTATTGTTAAAAATCTGTCAGTCATTAAGGACACATTCTAATTAATGAATGGTAAAACAAAGCAGAGCCCAAAGCTGTATTAAACCTCTACTTAGGTCATAATTCGTTTGTAGCCATATCTGATTGCTCATTTGATTTCTGAAAGTGCTCAATAGAAATCCAGAGTTAATGTGGATAAAATCTCAGGATAACATCCATTTACTTACACATTAGTATTGTTAAATAAATCCAAGTCAAGTCTACTTTACAATGAAGTGTGCAACAAGAAGTGAAGAACATACATCGTGTTGAGTTCACATTCTTCAAGGTGCAAATTTTACCTATTCTTGCCCAAATCCTTCTGTTTCTTCAATTGCGAACAACAGCTTTTCCTTCAACTGCTCATAATTCTTATAAGGTGGAAGGTCTAAGCGATTGAAACTGAAAACAAAGAAAAAAATTAAGTACTGAAAAATAATTAAACCATCACAAAAAAAAAATCCATTATGAATACAGGTAATGAAACTTTTTGCTGTGTAGATGGATACCTGGATTTATACTGTGTGAAAAACTGATAACTAAACATAAACTTATATATTTCTGAGAGTGAAAGCTGGAGTTCAAGTGCTTGAACAGTGATAGTTTTCCAGAAATGCAGTGTACCTGGTAAGAAATTTCACTAACTTTTCCTAGTTAGTTAGCTAGAGTAATCATTCACATTTGAAATTTTAAATTTGTGTGTTTTTACTAACCACTAATACACCTGAGGAACTGAGTAGAAGCTACCTTTTCTCTAGGGAACAGGGAATGGGAATGTGGCTACTATCAAGATGGAGTGTAGTGATAACAAAAGATCAATCTCAATCTCTTTAGACAGCACTGTTTATTACTTTACATTTTCAGTAATACACAAATCCATGGAATTTACAATAGAATCTACTCCACGCCAAAAGAGTTTTTTCAGAAGTTCAGCTATTATTCAACAACAAAGTTTATTGGTATAACTTGGTCTTTGCTTTCACACAGTCTCAAGCATTTAAGTATATTACACATTTACTAAAATCTCCAAGTAGATTCTTGTCAGCAAAACCAGAACAACAGTAATATTTTGATACTCACCAGGTATGACTTCTAGGTAACCAGTTCTCCTTTCCAACTTTTTCGATACAAAATTTTTGGGGTCCGTTGCTCCCTGTAACAAATTCAAATAAACAAGGCATAGGTATAGCTACCTTTGTATCTGTAGGCAATACATTACAACTGAAGTATGAAAGGCTTAGACACAAAACAATACCATTCCTCACACAGAAAAAAAGACATCTGTCTTTCACGATATAACTCTGTCTAGATCAAAGTATGCATGTGGCGAAATGCATAAATTTGAGGTGATTTTGAAACTCAATACCAAAGGTGTAAACATTCCCTCCATCTCTTTTTCCATCATAGCTTAAGTATACGCAGGACTTAGAAAATAGCATTCAATATAAAATTCATTAGAAATGTCCATAAACATATAACTTGGTTCTTTAAAAAAAAAAAAAAATCTAATGCATTAGAGGGATTATCAAATGCATACCCATGAGGTCAGCAAATCCTCCCACTGGTAATCTGCATGTTCCAGTAACAAACTGCAAGAGTCTCATTCTCTTCTCATTATCTATTTCTTTCACAAACTGAAAAATAATAATGCAAATAAATATTTAGGTATAGATTTGATATTCAGATTTTCACATCATTGTCCACAGAGTAACAAATTACATGACTGTTACGAATAGCTGGATTAGCAGTAGCAATTTATATTCACACGCTACGGATCTGTTCAATAATTCTGAGTATTGTTTACTAAGCTGTAGATGTGCTCTGTAACTTCTGTTGGTCTGAGAATAAAACAAAGTCTACAAACCTGCCAGAACCACACTATCTGTCTGTTGGTCCTGGTATAGTGCCGGTAGATGGTATGTCTCTGCCAGTCATTCAAATCTATTTCTTGCATTCCACATAGAAGCACCTTTCGGAGAGAAAAAGGGAAATAAACATGCTAGTACAAGTTATGACTTTCCTTCTATGCCTTCCCACATAGCAAAACAGAACATCAACTGCACCCATACTTAGAAGCATCTGCAATGACAGTATACTTGTTTTTACTTTTCAACTTTATCCCAAGCTTCTACAACAAAGAGCGATGACTGCTCATGAAGTGTATTTGGAGGCCACAAAATAGGAAGCATCTCTGTCATGAAAAAAAGAATAATTGCTTGCATTTAGACATTCAAACCAGGAACAGTTTATCATCGCCCAGCCATACAATTCTCCACTAGGAATAGGATGTTTTGGTTTTATCTTTTTAAATTGAACAGATGCTTCAGAAAGTGTAACTTTTGAGATACCATAACCATCCAGAACCTGGTCCAGTCTATATGCAATCATTCATTGCATATCTGGTTTTATCTCCCTTTCTGTCAAGTTATTCATTCTTTGAACACAGGCAAATCAAATTACTGATGATTACAAAAGGATTTCGGTAAGAAGTTTTGCTTGGCAGAATCTTAGCCTTTAGAAACACATCAGTAAGCTGCAAAGAGGAAAGTTGGGGGGAAACACACTCATCAAATACTACTCCATAAAGTTTCCCTCATATGCCCTATAAAACAGAGCTGTCAGCCTTAGTGACTTCTGCTCTTCAGACATAATGACTGGAGTTTAAGTATTTTATGTGTAACAACCTGGACCTAGCAATAGCCAAACAATCCTTTACCTCCAGTTCCTTAGCATCAAAATACTGCAAATACTGTTGTGGCAGAATTTCATTGAAGCCTTCAAAGAAAGCCTGTGTCTGCTCCTCAACACCTCGGGAAAGTCTCCATTCTGCTACTAGTCTGTAAAAGAAAATACAGAAAGATAGTCTAAATGGCTTGTGCTAACCCAGGTCCACATCTTTGTTAGCTTACAGTTCACCTCAAAATAGGCTAAGTTTAAAAAAAAAAAAAAAAAAAAAGGAAAGTCTGGAAAGTTCTGGGGATAGAGCATTGTACAATTTTATTAGTAACCTGTACTCTGTGCAAATGATTTTGTTTTTTCTTTAAGTTAAAACCCTATGTTTTCAGCCATTCTACTACGGAAAGTATTTTAGACTCAAAGCCAAGGCAGCATCTATTGACTGATTATATTAATGAGAGCACAGCAGTCCCTAGGCATTTGAAGAAAGAAAAAAATGCAGAGCTGTATTTGTCTAGTATTCTCCCCAGAAATCTCAGTCATTATCCATTAGAAGGTAAAAACTAGGTCAAGTGGTACTGGTGAAGATAAGTAGGACTGCTAGCTTACCAAGAAATGACTGTGTCCATTTGGAAAGTTCCATATTTGTTTCTGTTAATCATGAAACTTTGCTCTGTGGCAGAAACTCCACTCTCTATTAATAAAAGGGTGAAAAGCAGGCAGGAGACCCGAAGAATCTGAACCCATGGAGAAGCAGATACTATGCTGAATTCAAGCCTAACCTGTCAGGAGAACTGGAGTCTAAAGGAGAGATGGCTATTTTCTGGTTTCAATCCTAGAAACTTTGGGGACTTAAAGCAGGACTCAGAGTAAGACAAAAGAATGTGAGTCCAACTGGAATGTGAGCTCTTCCTGGGTTCCTAGGAACTAGAAGAGAATGGTTTTCTGCAGATCCTCCTTATTTTCGCCTCCAATATTAATACTTTGCAAAACTGCAAAATGCCAATATGTTTCTTCTGCAAATACTACCTTTTCTGTGAATCACTGAAATGTCTTCAGATTACTCATGTGATGAAAACAAAATCCACTCCCCTCTCTCTCTCACTGCTTCCCGTGAAAGACGCCTTCACAGAACACATCGTAAGAGAGGAAAATTCTACTGGGATTCAGTTTATTTTGTGCCTGCAATCTGTAACTTCCCCCCCCCAGCACATCCTCCAAGCTTATATGTTGAAGATCACACCTCAAAGCAGAGCTTATGCACTGCTGCACATCGAGGAAGAAGGGCTATTTCAGGACAAAGCAGGTCACTGTTCACATTTTTATGCTTTAATTGCTCT